TTTGTGTTCCCACTGCATGTCCTATATTTTGTTTTGGTCAAAATAGGTACTTAATAAATATTTATTGACTAATTGTTTCCCTATTAGCTAACTTTTCTTTCTGATAATAGATTCTTTCTTAGGGGAATCTTCTCAAATTTTATATTCTTAATATTCCCATGCTACATAGATAGTTTGTAAGTTTTTTTTGGAGTTATGTATCTAGCATCATGGTTTTGAATTTTTTTAATTTGTTTAGATATCTATACTCTTTCAACTTAATTTACTCAAATGTGTGTGTGTGTGTGTGTGTGTGTGTGTGGAGTGTTTGTACAGTCAATGATAGCGAAGTAAATTCTGATAAGGAATTAAAGATCAGAGTTACTTTGGGCTTTTTGTGGATGTGCCTTCTCTATATGTGGCTTTATTTTCAAACTGGCACCTTAATCTGTATTTGCATAGGTTATATCAGAATGTTTTTCGAGTTTATTTCTCTCTTTAAGTGTACGATTTCCAGTTCCGTAAGAAGATTGCTCAGTTTGACGAGGAAGTCTTTACTGTGTGTAGGCACAGGTTTTTTTGGATGCCTCTCTGTTCCAGAGAGAAGCTATAGATATATTAATGGCCTACATTTTCTATACCAAGAAAATTGATTTTTCTTTTGTTTCTAAAGAAAATCATTTTGAAGGTACTCACCACTCTGTGATGAATGGCACTATAAAAATACTTTGGGACCTCTGGAAGGAGAGTACTTGTTTAAAAATTACTTATTCCATGTGGTCTAATTTCATTTGTTTAAAAATACATTCACTTTTGGAAAGACATCTCCTTATTGATTCGTTAACCTAATTCCCATGAATGTTTCCTTATACCTTCAAATGCTTAACAAGCAGTAAATAGGACAGCACTAAGTGGTGTTTTTAGATGCTGATTCACCTCCGTTTTAGTCTGATGTTTTTTTGACTTGTTAAGTGTAACCTAGGAACTTATTTCCTGATTTATATCATTTACTCCTCTACTGTCTAGCATAACTTGTATTTCAATGCCTGGAACTTAGAGGAAACAACTGAGTGGGATGGTGAGTCTACCAAGATATTTGCTTAAGAATCTTAAAGAAGCCTACACACGGATGTCTTGGAACCAGATTTTAAGTGAACAAAGTGAAAACCTGTTTTTTTATGTGTTTTTTTCAGGATTTTCTATTTTTAAAGTAACCTTCACATATGGTACCTCCATATATATCGAAATACATTTCACATTGATATATGCATGATGTAAGCTTACTTTTCATAATGCAGCACAGTGAATAATTTAGACTTAATTCTCCTGGGTTTTCAGATTGTTTCATTATAAAGGGGCTACTGCCAATTCTAACAGAATTACTATGTTGTGTTAACATACACATCTAAACCATATACGCTATTATATTCCTAGCACATTCTATTAGTTATGGAAATTACTTTCATTTCAATAGTGGAATTTACATGACAACAGCTTCTGGGGCTCAGTGAAGCATCGGACCAGCATGTCACAGAATTCCCTTGTAGTGTGGGCGTTGACAGGGTTCTGTTGCAAACAAATTTGCAATAAAAATGTCTCATAATGTGCATCCACATAGGATATTACTCAGAAGGTATCACCTTAATATTCACATAGGTCATTAATGTCAGAGGAGGTAATTTCTTCACTCTTACATCAGTACAATAAACTATTAGGAACATATAGTTATACACATATATAAATGGTGTGAAAGATCTGTTTTAAACATTTAGCAAAGATGTCTGGTTACAGAATTGCCATCTTTGTGTTCTCTCCTGTAACTGTGTGAAGGTTTTGTATTTATAAGTCTTACAGAAATGTTGGATGAAGAATCTGAATCAGATAAGAGGATGAACTAGTCCAGAGAGGTTATAATAGGAATTAAGTAACAAGATAGAATCAGGGAGAAATTAAACTGATTATCACAATAAAGTTCTTAATAGGAAGAATCATTAGACTGTGAAATAGTCTTTCAAAGACTCTGGAAGAAGTCATTACAAGATCCATTTAAAGACAGACTGGGCTGAAATACTCCAAAAACAGTAGGCTATGGGGACCAAGTCTACATTAGAAGTAGAAAGAGGGGTATGAGCTAATAGTTTCTGCCGTCTCAGTGATTACTATGATGATACTCATTTTATGTGTTCAAACTTGGTAGATAATCTTCTATCATTTTATGCTCCTTTTTGGGAGCAATTTCAAAAAATTCATCTAATGCAGTATTGGATGCATTTAGTAGAATCTCAAAAGAGGCAAGAATGCACAATAAACTCAGTTTAAAATAGCAAATTGAGACAACTGTGAGTAAACACATACTCCTTTTTTGAGAATTACTCCTGGAGAAACAAGTCTCATGCTGGAACTTTGGCCACATTCCAATGTGCGTAAATGAATCCTGCCCTCCTTGTTTCACAATAGTGATTAGGTATTAATTTTCATTTCTTTGGTTTAGTGAAATATTGGGATGATGTTTAGTGCTGGAGAACAAGTGGAAAATTCACCCCTAAGCCAATGTGCTACATTTTGGCAGGAGGTAGCTAGTATCCTGGAAAAAGATTATGCTTCATTTTGTGGCTGATCACTATTAGAAGAATGGACAAGAGAGACAACAGTTTTATTTGGGAAAGAAAGATGGTTTGACACGAAATAAAAATGAGGACAATGTGCCCAGGGAAGTTGTAAAATGTTATTGCTGAGAATCTTTCAAAATAAGACCCATCTCTTCAATTGTGTGATTCCAGCTAATCACCTGTCATAAAGTAGAGAAGTGAAGCAGGCGACCTTTTGACAATTATCCCATTCTTTTCTTCAATACAAATATTAATTTCCACTTAAAGATAATGATCAATTTTTTGTTAGATTTGTGTTTGTTGAACTTACCAATTTTAATTGAAGTGACATAAAATCAAAGATGAGCTCATCATTTGATATGTGTAATTGTGGGATAAATCATCTGATTTATACTCACTTCTTTTCATATGTATACCACAATTTTTTAAAAAGCCCATTATACAAAATAGAGTGGGTCACAGAGTATATTTTAAGCATTTATAATATTTTTTGTTTGTGTGGTTTTCCACACATTTTCTTGTTACTGATCATATATTCCTGAAGTTTGAAAAATACCATTCAATTTAAATAAACAGAAAGGTGCTCATTTCCTTCAAGCTCCAAAGTGTGGCCTATTCATTGTGCTGGCATAATTTTCTATGATTTAGGTTTCACACTTCATTGGTAATGGCCTAACTCATAAAACTATAGTTTTATATCTAGATATATCGTATCTAGGGGCAGGAGGGGTTTCAATGCTAAAAGGTATAGTTGCCATATTCTTCTTCAGCTAATAAAGGCAGATATTCTGCAATTTTGTTGTTTTATTTGTGAAATTGTAGGTTTCAAGACTTCCTTTCCTCATTTTCCATCATGAGCTTGTGCGTTACAACATAAGATAGCCTTTCGGCTTGTTTATTCAAAATATCTACATGCTCCTGCTTGGTGATCAAAATCCAATAGGATGGACAGGTGTGAGAAATCTTTGTAGATATAAATCACTACCCATTATGAAAGGAAAAATATTACAGTGATTTCTGGTGTACAATAACTTCCAAATATATTCATCTTCTATTGGGCTGCTTTTAGAAACAAGGTAAATAGGAATATAAAATCATAATTATTCATTGGAGTGTCCTAAGCATCTTTGATAGGAACTGTTATTGGTAGTTTAGCATAATGCCAATCTAGATCATTTCAGTAATGCCTATATTAAATATACTTCTCTTGACAATTGGAGCTCAGAGAGGAATCTTAAAATGTGTGATCAGATAAACCAAAGTAGACTTCACCCCCCAAACTCCCCTCCACCCACCACAAAGAAACATGGTGTAGCTCTATTGAACAGTTCTAAGAAATTCAAGCAAAGAAACTCTAAGGAACTATTGTTTGTACTTAGCTCACATCTGTGTCAGCTCACATTAACCTCAACTTTGAATATTCTGATATGTACCTACATATAGACCCCAAACATATCTACTACTATTCAAGTAATAGTAGAAATATTTTATAAGCAAATTAGTTGAGTCCTTAACCACCCCGATCTTTAGAGGTGTACAGTTTTATTTTCAGAATTTACGATATTTAAAATAAAGTGGGAGATGCTGCCTTAATATATTTACCTAAAAGTGTTATACCTTAGAGAATCGTCCACCTTTGTTAACCCCAGGAATAACTCGAAGAAAATTTAATGAAATTCTTAAGAAACAAGCTTATTGGATATATCACCTAGTCTATTTTTAGATCGCAAATCTCCCGCCCTCTCCGAGTTATCTCACTGTCAGATAAGAAAATGGAACAGGGTCGTTTAAAGATATGCTCCCTATCTGGCTTTTCGATTTTTCACTCAAGCCAAAAGGAGTAAAGGGCAGCTAGTTAAGCCTCCTTTCCAAGCGTGCTTGCGGGAGGGCAAACCTCTGGCCGCCTCCGGCTTCTGAGCTGATCGGGACTGCATGGACCGGGTCCCGCTGACCGTTGCCCACCTCTGCCGGCAACCTCCACACCCACAAGAAACCGCCAGTATGTCAGCCAGTCATCGCACGGATTCCTGTGCACAAAACCTCCGGCAGCCCCCAAATAGAAACAAAATCTGAGCCCAGAGCTGAGATGGAGGTGGTTGGCTGATGAGACTGGTCTCTTTGGGGGTCTGCGAGTGCTAGTTGGTCCCTCCACCTCTCACCCTGGCCGTAGATCTGTGCCCTGAAATCTCCCTCCTCCCAGACACAGACGTGGGCGCACACACACAAACTCTCACTCATGCACACCCACATCGCCTCTGCCCTCCACCCTTCCCACTCCAGGCAGGACTGTGGGGACTGGTCCACGCTCTGCCTCAACTTTCCCGGCTGCGCCTGCCCCACGCGGCACCCGAGCTTCCGCGCCCAGGCTAGGCGCCCTCCAGAGGGACACGTCCACCTCTGGGCCCCCCTTACCTCGCACCGACAACTCCTGGCAGGAACTGGAGCTGACCGTGGTGGCAGCGGCGGCGGTGAGCCTGCACCCGGGCTCTGGCTCATGGTTGGTCCTCCTCATCCGACACAAAAGAGGTAGCTTGCTGGCTTTGTCCTTTCCAAATCCAAGGGAGAACTTATTTTGCCCTCGAAATGGCCAACTTGTGCGCGCAGCTTCCTGTCACAGTGCCCCCTGCCCCCGCCCCCTCCCGGCGGCACGCTGGACCACTGCCCGGTGGCAGAGCATCCAGGCCTCCGAGTCAGTGGGGAGTGGGAAAACGGAGGGGTGGAGTAGAGGAGAGGGAGGTGGTTGGGGAAAGGGGGGACCCAGTGGTCTTCCGCGGAGGGGAGGGGAGCACTTCCCAGCCGAGTCCCCTCCTCCTCCTCTTATCAGGCAAACCCACTTCCTAGGCGTGGAAGCAACTTTCCTTCACCTTGACCAGGCTGAAACCAGCGCATCTAATTGGGACTCTCGGCAGAAGCACGGACCTCCTGGCATCCTCTCCTTTCCATTCTTTCCTCCCTCTCACGTTCCTCTTTTCCCTGTCCCCCTCCCCCACCCTCCCTCCTTTTATAGGGGTGTATCTGCAGAGTCTTCAGTGAGCCAGGGTACCTAGATGAGAGGATTATTATATGTAAAGCCAGGGTGGCTTTGCCGACTCCTTTGCCTCACTCTGAAATCCTCAGGCAGTGCATGCAAACGTCGGTGAATTTCGGAGTGGGGCGAAGGGGCATGGAGCGGTAGGGAGGGTGGCGGCTCCAACTTTGAAGCCCTGCTAGAGCTCTTGGCTTTCGGGTAAGGAGGGACTAACAGTCCCGAGAAGAACTCTCCTGTGGTCCCTGCGCAGGGGGCTGATCGCCGGCGGGAGGAGACCGGGAGAGCAGGAGCAGAGAGGGAGCGTGAGAGCCAGGGAGGCCGGTGCGCAGCTCAGCCCTACTCGCGACTCTACTGCACTCTGCGAGCCGCTGGAGAGGGTTTGTGCAGAACAATCTCTGGGTCAGGCGGGAGGGAGACGCTCCTGTTTCCTAGCAACCCTTATCAATCTTGTCCCTCTGAAGGAATTCGATTGGACAGCCCCTGGAGAGAAGCCCCGCCCATCCAGGAATGCTGGGCTTCTGCTTTTTCGCATTCTCCCAAAATTTCTTGGGTGGAATAAGATTATAGCGGAGTGCTGAATTATCTTTCTTTTTATCCTTTTGTGCTACCACCTCCCCTTCTTAAAGCTACCCCCCCACCTCCTCATTAGTCCTTCTCTAGCCCTACTATGGTTGTCAGTTACAATGTTTCCTACAGAATCTCTTCTTTCTTCTTAAAATTAAATAAATAAATAGGAACCTTAAATCGATGACGTAGGCACAAAAGAGAAAAAGGCACACGGAAATAGCTTTAATAGGCTGCACGCTATAGATAAAATCCTAAAGGTAAAATTTCAGGCATCTTTCTATGTCTAGAAACACATTGTGTTTAATTTCCAAATTGGAACTTCATTAATTTTTGTACTCTAATATACTAATTTTATATTAACCCAGGACTGAATTATATGAAGCCAGACACAATTAAACTTAATGCTTTTAATGCTACATTGGGTCTTTAATATTTAATGTTAAGTTGTTTAACGACTGCTGTCTTTTGTATAGCCAGAGCTTCTAAACTACAGAAATAATTTTGATTCTTTTAGAGGGATAGTGATATTTAAAAGACTCATGTGTTTACTTATATATTTCATTGTGAACCCTACTAAATTCAGAAACTTGAATATGTTAAAAAATAAAATAGTGAAATGCTAAAAATATAGAAGTCCCCCTGTCAACCTTATTCTTTCTGGAATGCAATAGCATTGCCAACATACAGGCAAAATTACTCTCCTTTGTGTCTCATTAGTATTTTCTAGCATGTATTGTTCACCAAAAGCATATTCAATCTTTATAGGAAATGACTTTTAACAATGTCTGCCCCATAGACGACTGTATATCAAGGGGCAATGACGTGAACATGAGGAAGGTAAAGATTTATACACTGCAAGGCTTCAGATCCTCATGAAGCCATGTGAGTAGATTTTGGCCTCTTTCAGAATGTTCCAGAAGACATCATTTTGTACTTCCATGACCTTATCAGAATTAGTTGGGATTGAGAGAAGTAGAAGAGATGTGATGTTTTTGTCTCACACACAAAAAAGTAGCTAATGTTTGCACAAAGGAAAGTGCTGATGAACTGCATCTCCATAGTCTGTATTTAGCTGTTGACTAAGGCTTGTGATGAGTAGTGGCTGAAATGCTGAGGCAAATTATCAGTCTGTTATCAGATAAGGCCTGAGGAGACACTTCTTTCCCCTCCCACACTACATCACACACACAAAGAAATGAAGGAAAGGGCTGCTCAGCATGGTAGAAACCGAGTGTCTCCATGTGAATCCTGAATTTTCATCACTTCCTACCTGTGTGAACTTGGGCAAGTTTCTTAACCTTCCTATATTTCAGTTTCATTATCTGTAAAATGGGAATAATAATTGCTCATACCTCAGAATTTTGAGGATTAGTAAATCCATGTAAGCAGCATATAAGTAATAGGTACTATTATAAATCTCTGGTTTATATAATAGTTGACTAATGGTATTTTAATTGTTGAACATAGAGAATATTTAGTTGAAAGCAATTGGTCTTCATTATTTAAACTCGTCATTGATTGAGAATATCATTTAGCTTTTAATGTATGTTTGTTGATGTGTGCTTGTTTTCAAGTTACTTTTAAAAGCCTCAAGGGATACATCTAAATGAAAACCTCTGACTAAATAACATGTCAATTAAGAGAGTTCATTCTCCTTCTCGTCACACCCTCCCCAAGTATTCTAGCTGGGCTCACAATCCTAGTTCCTTAAGTACATCTGATGTAGCAAGTTTGTCAAATATTTCTCAAGTGAAACACATGTGTTTGGTCATCTGGATCACTCTTTATAGTTCATATTTTTATTAGTTTGTTTAAACGTCACTAATTCATCTCCATTTGTTTGAATTACTAAATCATGATATTTCCTCTTAGGACCCTTTACCATTAACACTCTGATTTCTTTATACTGACTGTTGAACTATGGCCTGTAGGCCAGGAACAGTGGCTCAGGCCTGAAATCCCAGCACTTTAGGCAGCTGAGGTAGGTGCATCACCCGAGGCCAGGAGGTTGAGACTAGCCTGGCCAACATGGTGAAACCTCCTTTCTACTAAAAATACAAAAAAATTAGCCAGGCGTGTGGCGGGTGCTTGTAATCCCAGCTACTCAGGAGGCTGAGGCAGTAGAATTGCTTGAACCTAGGAAGCAGAGGTTGCAGTGAGCCGAAATCACACTACTGCACTCCAGCCTGGGCAGCAACAGCAAAACACCATCTCAAACAAAAACAAAAAACAAATAAATAAGGCCTGTAAATTGTGCCAATATTCATCCAGAATGAATGTTGAAAATGGAAGTACTGTCATTAATTACAAATAAAATGGCTTCCATGTTCCTATTCTGATCCACAGTTCACTCTCACTAGCATTCTCTTTGAATCAAACCTCTGTTGGTCAATCCAGAGGTCAATTTCACTGTTGGTTTCTACTACCAGTCAGGAATGAACTGTTTGGTTACATAGGGTGATCAGGCATCCAGTTTATGCAGAACAGTTCTGGTTTACATCTGTTGTTTGAGTGTACTCATAGTCTTCATTTTATTTCTCAAAAGTGTCAGATTTGGGCATTAAAGTATATGGCTACTTAAACCTTCTAATTATCTGTCCATACCCCTCAACTCAGCCTTTTTACTTGCTTCATCTGTCCTGTGGCTGTTAAATTCCTCTGTATAACGTTTTAAAGAATAGGATTAATTGATCAATTTTGAGGACTTACAATACATATGTCTTTGTAAATACATAATATACATATATAATATTAAAATTCTCTTTAATTTGCTGATAAGCATACCTCATTCAATTTTCAACTTCTTTCAAAAATGTTTCTCCTTAGAGCATCTGTAAATTCTAATTACTGTTGTGCTATATAACAATATATGTATTCTAGTCTTGATTTTGACTGAAGCTTCCATGCAAGGAAGAGCCAATTCCTCTATTCCAAAGTGAGAGTTGTTAGACCCCTTGTGCTGGATTTGAGTAGGGTATCCCTAATGCATGTGGACTGTAAGAGAGTTAAAATCTGAAAAGCTGAGAAAGGTAGGGAATGAAAGCATAGTTTTTGGTGTGCTTTTAAAAATGCAAGCCCAGGGTGAGGGTTTGTATACTTTCTCCTTGCTTCAACTCTAATGAAGCATGCTGCTGCTATAGGAAAACCCTTGCTATGTTCTGCTGGAGTTGCAGTGATGTAGTGAACTGCTTCACAGCAGAGAAATATGTAACACTGTGTCTGAATCTGTCTTTCGGAGGACTAAAATAAAATAGGTCAAGTAACTGCACTTCCCCTTATGTCAGGCAAAAGGAATGGGTTTCCTATATACTCTATGTGGGTAGAATGAGCACAGAGCCAGGAGATGTGTTTTCTTAGTCTCTACCCAGAAGTACTTGGTAGAGAATCTGTGATGCCAGTAGACGGTCTGTGAAGGGCACAGGGCTGTGGTCATGTCACCTTGTAGGCTGTGCTCTGCACAAAGGCTCCTGGCTGAGAAGTGAGAAGGAGCTGCTTGCCCAGTCTTGTGTATAGGGCTGTATCAACATGGTGTGAGGGCACCTGTCTATACTTCATCAATCTGGAGGTGCCACCTTTTTATAATTCACATAAAGGGTGGTAGGAGAAGGCTGAAGGAGAAGTGCAAACAACCAGAGGCTTTGGGTAGGGTAGTCAGTGGCCAGTCATGAATGCCTCACCAGAATCAGGTCAGAGTCTGCAGTGAGAGATCCCCAGAGCCTGAGGGTCTTCAAAGAACTGAGTAAATTGGGATCAGGAAAGTCAACTTTGAACACCTGCAAAGCCCAGGAAAATGCAATGCTAGATCAGTTCTACACAAATAGGATTTTTCTTGGCTGCTTGTACCTTCTATCTGTGACCTCTTCAACTCAGAGGGATCAAAAGCTCCAGCTGCTGATTAAGGTGGAGGGAGAATGAGGATGAGGAAGCCGGCTGGGCAGAAAGAAGAGCCTGCCAGGTCCTACCGCAGGCTGCCGTCTAGCTGCTTTCCGAGGCTGGGCAAGAGGAGAAGCGTTAGCTTGGGTGGATGTTAGAGTTTTATTACTCTGCCTTAGACCTGATTCTACTTGAGTCTGTGACATTTTTTTTTTTTTGACTGAAATGAAAGAAGGAGTGTTTTATCTGGGAACAATCCGAAAGT